CGCATCCACTCCTCCCTACCTATTGTGACGAAAGCCCAATCAAGAGCCATCTGCAGGAGCTAGCTTAAATGCCACCCGATAGGGTAGCTTGTAAGCTATTTTAGCTATATATATGGTAGATGGATTAGTACCTTTCCCAAGTAAGTGTTTCGTAAGTGAATGTAATGAACTCGACCGGAATTCGAACGCCGATTTCTCAATTCGATCCCCTATGCATCACATGCCTCCTTAGGTATAAGCGACAGGGTTTGACAAAAGCAACGCATAACCTTTCAAATAGGGCCCTGTTAGAAATATTTCCTGGTTGGCTACCCTAGTCCGATCTTCCTAAGTCAACCTCCATCCTTCTTTTTATATCTTAATATATCCGAATTTCTTTCCGACTGAAGGCGTGCCCAAATATCAAGATTTTACTCCCAAGTCAATTTCCATCCTTCAAACTTAAAAAAAACCCTCTCGACACCCGGTTATGATGCCTCCCCCAACCATTCCTTTCGTTCATGAGCTGAGATACATAGTGTGTCAACCCCAAGGGAACACGCTCAATTTTATTATTATTAGTAGTCGTAATATTGTTATTATTAAGCAACTGAGTGCTAAGTCCCCTCCGAGGTTAATGAGTAAAAAGGTCTCCCTGGGAGAGTTATCTACGCACATTTCGGACGTTTCGTTTAGATAGTTTTGTTGATGATATGTACAGTTCCGCATTAAGTATTATTAATAATAATAATAATAATAATAGTATTAGTAGTAATTGTGGTAAAATTTGCTATCCTTGCATAAGTAGTAAGCTTTTAGCTTCCCATTCTTGAGAAGTAGAATCAGTCTCTAAATGCATCGTTTTGGCACGCAAGCATACATGTATGCACGAACACTCCGAAAACAACTGTCATTTGGGTCGCCACTGGATACATCCGCCATTTACGAATTTCACTAAGTCACGCGCTAGATGACGCCATTTTGAAAATGAATCCTTACATGAAATATTGTAGCGAAAACCACGCATTTGGAGCTTTCCCCTCTCCTTCTCATTTGGCTATCTGTTCTCATTTTTAAGATCGTCTTTAAATTTAAAGCTGTGGCTATATTAGCTAGATGAAAAACTTCCATTTAAATTAGAATCTTTAGAAATATTTAAGCTTATTTATCTCAAATTGTCATAATGGAAAAAAAAAGAGGCAAAAACCAGTCTTTAAACATAAGTAAATAAAATGAAAACGTTATTAGACTTCACCAGTGATTTATCTGACACTGATGATTATAGCCCTGCTAAGATATTTCCGCTTCCGGAAGAAACCATTCGTTCTGATGATCCATTGCTGCAATAGTAATTTGCCATTCCCTTCAGTCGGTTTTTAATGTTTTTTGCTTTTTACAGATAAGAATTAATCTTACCTATAACTCATTGGCATAAGAAATCGGAATCTATTATTATATAACAAGAAAGAGACAGCTGAGATTTCTTGGACACATGATGGGGAAGGCGGGATTGGAAAACTTACCCCTCACTGGGCGTAATGAGGTCAAGAGTGATAGCGGAAGGCAGAGAGACACTTACCTGGAGCGCCTGTATACATATTTCAGAACACGTTTGACGCCATATAACTTACGCTAGAATTAGCTGTTTCTCTCTGCCGAGTGATGATGGCTTAGTGGTAGATACTTTGACTGACACCAAATCGATCGGGTTTTGGTCCAGGCATTCGGATGTCTAGTCGCACTGAAATCCTAAAAATGAACTGGAGACTAGGATTAGGACTAGCTTCCACCAACTTAAACAAGGAGACCGTCCAGAAGAGATATAGGAGATTCCGAATCGTCTGGAGAACGTGGTTGAAGCTAAATGACAGTTTTATTAAATAAATGTACTCTTTAGTATTTCAAGATTATTGTTTATAAACACGCTCCTTCGATGATTTTTCTCGATCGATCATTTCTGCTCACGAAATATATCTTAATGTAAACAATGACAACATATTATGAAATGGATTGAGTCCGATAATTATTCACATATTTTCTGATTATAGGTTATTTTTATAAATAGAATTTAAGTAAATGCTCTGTTTTTAATTAAATAATATTAATTACATTTACCGGCCTGAATGTTCGTGAGTTCAATACCTGGTTAAGGCAGTTGAGATCTTGGAGAGGTGAATTAACAGGAGATAACTGATAACTGACATCCATTAGACATGGAACTAGAACAGTCTACCCCCAGCGAGCGAAATAAAGGGTTCAGTTCGACATTCCAACCACCTGGAGAAGGCCGGAGTGTATAACGGCCGAAACGTTGTGATAAATATGGCAACAATAGTCCGAATAATGTAAATAGTGTACATAATATCTCATCTCAGAAATATAGAGAGATAGCACGAAGTTTCAAGTCATCGTGGCCGAGGGTTTGCGTTCAGTGCTCTTGTTCAAACTGTTGATAACGTCAGATTATGCACCCTTTCACACAAACTCTAACTAAGGTTCATTCACCATCGTTGCAGTATAAACCACAAGTGAGTGTTGAACAAGGTTAAATGTGTCAGAGCAGACGTCTGCAAAAAGGATTAGGTAACAGCGCTATCAGTAATATGTGCTTGGAAACGAATAGCTGGTCCTTATTATAATATGTTTATATGTATGTATGTATGGTGACCAGGCACGTGGAAATCCAAAGGGAGTGATGAACTTCTTAGCCTTTGGTAAAGTACCCACAGAAAAGTAGAAGGAAAACTCGTGTATTACACCCGCCTTCAGAGATAAACCGGATATCCTGCACCTGTTTGTGTCTGGAATATTTAATACTGTTGTTGTGGTGCTGCATAATCCGTATTCAAATATTTTTCAATTCATTTCACCCCAAGCAAGGCAATAAAGCCACTGAGATGCAAGGGGTTACTGAGTGTGAGAGAATATGGGAAAAGGAAAACATTTTTAAGGAAAGAGAATAATGATAAAAAATAAAACAATAATTAAAAAGACAGAAGATAACGAATAACACTACATTTACATTTTTGAAGATCAAAGTTCACTGGAAAGCAAGAAGTCGGAAGGCAGTTCCCCAAATGAGAAGTGCGAGAGAAGAAACTGTTAGCATAGAACTTACGGCTAAATTTAACCATGTCAACTCTAAAATAATAAGATTGCGTTTAAATTTATAAAGTCTAGATACCATAGAGGAAAGTTTATCAGAATAATTACCATGAAAGTATTTATTTAAAAGGCACAGGGAAACTAGATTAGGGAGGTGGGGAAATGACTGAATCTGAAATGCCAGGTCACGACCAATAACATTGCAGATTATTCTTTGTGTTGTATCAAGAATATCTAAATGCATAGCAGAAGCACCAGACCGGATTAGGCAGCAATATTCAATGTATGGTCGATTGATAAACTTGTGTAAGTTATATTTTGGCATGAAAGATTATTTAGCACGGCACAGTGAACTAACTTTCCTGGCAGTAGACCTAGCAATTGATTCAATATAATCTTTCCACTTCATGTCAGCGGAAAAGGTTCGCCCGGGAAGGTGCAATGAATCACGCTTTTGGAGGTTATCATCACCCATGCTGCTGGAAGACGAACAAGGTTCTCTCAAACCATTAAAAGAGAGCAGTTATGTTTTTGAAGCGTTAAAATTAACAAGGCATATGTTGCTCTAGTTAACAACAGATTGTAAGGCCATCAGTATGGATACCAACTGGGAACTTATGACATTAGGAAGGTTGTTGATGAAAATTAGGAACAAGGTTGGTCCAAGGATAGAGCCCTGTAATTTAAAAGAGTGGCCGTTCGAATCAACTTTCATTTTGCGCTTTGATAAGAAAGATTGAATCATTCGTCCAGCTCGACAAAATGTAGAGAGGCATATGCAATGTGATAGGTCCTGATCTGGCATCTCGTCGACAGTTACTTTCTCACAGTCGTGCTGTGGCTTCTCTCTGTCTTTTCTACAAATATTTACATGGCAACTACGATCTACTTTCACTGGTTCCCAAACTGCATGAATTTAAGCGTGCTACTAGGTTGGCATCTCGGTCCCACCGTTTCACTGGTATTTGAGGATACCTGTCTACTAGGGTGCTAGCTAATCCTTATTGCAGACGCTTGCTCAGGCGCATTTGTGTTTATTCAACACCCACAGAGACCACCTGTAACTATGCTGAGCAGACCTTAGTTACAGTTTCTGGGAAAGAGCGTGTTATCTAGCTTGATGGAGGCATTAAAGTTTACAAGACATTTCCTGTCCCAGTCAACCACAGATTGGATGTCCTTTTCGAGATAAGCAGCCAGGTTAGTTTTGTCAACGATACCAGATTTACTATTGAGTAAATAGTGGTGTCGTCCGATCAAAAAACTATCAATCCTTTGTAACCCCTTGCGTGCTAGTGGCACTCCCGCCTTGTTTGGGGTGAATTGCTTTAAAAAAAATCTTCAAAGACAATCGTGTCAATAAGAAAGCACATTCTGTCTTTGTGGTTTTTTGCTCACGATGTCTGAAGATTTAGCCTTGATTGTTCTTCCTATATGTGTTTTAATGTCCCATAAAATTGTCACACGCCCTATCTCCGTAACCGGACTGGGAGGTGTTCATACCAGTTTCTTGTATTTTCCTTCCTGTAAAAATTGTAGATTTTCCATTGCAGATTTTTGCCCACTTTGTCATGTCGAGTTTTATATTCAGTGGGTGCTAATACTGTGAAACTGTTTCTGGATATTTATCACAGAATGTGCATTTCGAGTTAACACAATTTTTCAGTATGTCTGCTTGGTAATCATCGTTATTATTATTATTATTATTATTATTATTATTATTATTATTATTAAAATGTTAGTTCTTAGTTTTTCTTTCTTTTATTATTACTTCTTGTCTAGTGATTACCTTTGAGTGTAGAATGACTAATCCGTGTTATGAAATAGTCGATGCCCTACAAACACACATCTGGGATTAAGCCGAGTTAATAAGTATTAAGTTAATCCTTGAACATATTAACTGACCTGCCCCAGTCATGTGCACCGCGCCAAATATGTCCTCATCCATCTATTTTACAGTTGGAGATCGTTTAAACATATAGATATAGACACGCATACATACGCACATTAGAATGTGAATACCCCCCTCACACACATATATATATATATAATAGGTGAGAGTGTTCTGTAGATTATAGCGAAGCAACTTGATGAAAAATAAATGCATGGAGGCGGGGATATATTCCTGTTTAATTTTCTATCTGTAGTATGATTTTATCTATTACAATATGGTCATTATCTATATATCTCAAATTTGTCATTATCTATCTATCGATCTATCTCGATCTTGTCATTATTTATTTCAATATTTTTATTATCTATTTCAATATTTTTATTATCTATTTCAGTATTTTCAATATCTATCTATTCATTTCAATGTTTTCATTCTCTATCTATCTATCTTAATTTTTTCATTATCTCTTTCAATGTTTTATCTATCTATCTATCTATCTATCTATCTATCTATCTATCTATCTCAGTGTTTTCAATATTTATCTATCTATTTATTTCAATGTTTTCAATATCAATCTATCTACACATTTCAATATTTTCATTATGTATCAATTTGAATGCTTTTATTTATTTCAGTGTTTTCTTTCTTTATCTATCTATCTATCTATCTATCTATCTATCTATCTATCTATCTATCTATCAATCTATCTATCTATCTATATCTATTTCAATTGTTTTCAATTACAATCTATCTACACATTTCAATATTTTCATTATGTATTTATTTGAATGTTTTTATTTATTTCAATGTTTTCATTATCTATCTATCTCAATTTGTTCATTATCTATTTCAATGTTTTATCTATCTATCTATCTATCTATCTATCTATCTATCTATCTATCTATCTATCTATCTATCTCATGATTATCAATCTATTTATCTATTTACAAGTTCAACTTAGTAAAATCAAGAACTGTTGGTTTCAATTTATAGTAATATACATCTATTGTATTTTCATACAAATGTAACATAAGGCCGAAGTGAAGTGGGGAAATGCTGATCAACATTATTTATTCTAGACCAAGCTTATCAGATTCACGACCCATTTATCTAGAATAGCTAACTCATTCACTACAAGAACACATTCATCACCATTCAACCCAACATAAAGCATTATACCACATATTCCCAGGGAACACCCATTTCATAAAAAATTTAAAAATGTCCAAATGTCGCTTTTTTTTTCTTTTCTTTTCCAAAAATAATTAAAAGCAACCTGGCAACTGCAATGCAAGAAGCAAAAGTCCTTATTCAATTATTAAACACCACGATCAATGCAGTTGAAAATGAGCAAGCCACAATCTTTTGCGATAATCAAGGTACCATAGCTCTTGTTAAGAACCCGTTCGACCATCAACATTCAAAACACGTAGACATGAAGTACCACTTCATAAGAACTGAGATTCGAAATGGTACAATAAAATTGGACTAGGTTCCATCGGAAGAAAATGTTACCGATTTGTTTACTAAACCTATCGGCAGAATAAAATTGAAGAAATTATTTACTGCTCTAAATGGAGCGCTATACTGAACATTTTTTTGATTACTAATTTTTTTATTTCCTCGTTTTTCCCCTCTTTTTATATGAAAATACAATTAAAGAAAAAAATAAAAATTATTACGTAGTGAAAATAATAATCAAACAATATGAAATATTTAATTAAAAAAATTTTGAAATATTAAAGGTTGAAAATAAATATTTAAAAAAAAATGAAATATTAAAAAAAGTAAAACAACACAGTTTTGTTATATATGCAAATTATATATATGTAGATGTTTATATGCATGTTGCTCGTATTTGATGGCCCCATAGAAAAGGGGGGATTAGGGGAGGTAAAAATCGGTGCGTTCATCCATTAGATTGGGGTGGGGGGGTGTTGATTTCAACTTGTAGGAATGATTGCAAAACACTTTCCCCTCCCAATTTTTAAGGCAGAAACAAACAAATGAAAGCTGGGTGTTGAGCTACGACAATTGTAAATTTTGCAGACGATGGCGTCTAAGAGTTTAACCATACTTTTAAATTTCCTCGTATCCAGATTAGCTAATGAAAGAAATATTCGCCTCAAAATACTAATGGTTAACAAAGCATCATCTAATAAAAAAATGCAAGATAATATTACTACTACTAATAGTACTAAAGTAAATAAAGGAACTAGAAGTAAGATGAAAGAAATCTAAGACAAAAATTAATAATGATTGATATTCTAATGAAAGCCTAAAATGTATTTCATTGGATCTTGTTGGTACGACCTCCATGTATTTTTGCCGTTGTCTGCGCTCTGAAAAGGCCACTCCGGTTTTATCATCAATGGACTGAATTTTGATCAAACAGGCCGCTACTTTTACCTAGCGAGATAAACGGACTCCTACTTACTAAATACGACATGTGTAAATAAAACCAGTTAGAATTAGATTAAAAATTAATAATAGTTGACAATGATTCATCTAATAAATATTCATGAAAATATTACGATCAGTAGAGTAAATCAAAGTTAATAGAATGAAGATGAAAGAAATACGAATTCAAAATTTTATAATTTAGCTTGTGCCTCCATTAGTTAGCGCATACATTACGCCCTGCCAATACCTCCTAAAAAATTGACTAATCCGTTTTGATCAAGACGGAAAAGACATATAAGAGACGCTACTTGGTTTTAGCGAGAAAATCAAAGATAGTAAAGAATAGAGAAGTGTTTAACATCTGATTCAGTGAAATGGAAAATGTCAATTTCAAATCTTATAATTTCTACTCACTTCTTAAACGACAAGCATTTATATTTATGTTAATATGTAACAATGCGATAGGGGAATTTCTACGGATATTTTATTGTCATAGAACTCGCCATGATTTTATTCAGTCATTAACTAAAGAATTAAGATTCATCAGAAATTTAAAATAATTAAAACCGTGACATTTTTAACATGTTAAAACTACTATTAATATTATTATCGTTATGTCTCCATTGCATTGAATGAAGATAACAGAATGAAGAAATAGAATGTCGCTTGGAGGCGACATAGTCTTTCTGAGATCGGTAGTAAGCAGATATGCTAGGCCCTTCTCTTATTTTTCTCTCCTTCTCTTCTTCTACTGACGATTCTCTGCGTCAGTCTATACGTATTTGGACGAGTCCAAATCCTCTTCTGAAGAGGTGTGTTCATCTCAACAACAACAACAACAATTATTATTATTATTATTATTATTATTATTATTATTATTATTATTATTTCCTTTTGACTTCTCGTGTGTACACATTTCTTTCCGGTTCCCGACCAGAGACCTAAGGTCAGAAATAGCGTCATGAGATTTTCCACTGAGCAATTGAAAAAAAAAAAAAAATCACACATATTTTATATAGATAACGTCCATCGTAAGGTGTGGGCTGTACTCGTGAGAACATTTTTTTACATTTCTTTAAGGCACAAGCTGCCAGGAATTGCTTCAATTGGAGTCTATTGGAATATTTTCTAATCAATCCGAGGGCTCCAACTACAACAGGGATTGTTGATGTTCTCATGTGCCATATTTTTAAGATTTCGATCTCAAGGTGCTTGTATTTTGATATTTTGTATCAATTATTATTATTATTATTATTATTATTATTATTATTATTATTATTATTATGTCATATTGTCTTTTTTTGTTTTCCTTCGGCTTCTTCCATCTTTTTTCTTTCTCGCCTTTTCTTTTACCGAAAATTTTCTTAGTTTACGCTGTTGGCATAAAAGAATTCAGATAATTTCTTCCTAACATTTTGTTTCCATTAATGATAATACTCCCTCCCCACTATCGTTATTGTTAAAGTTATTAAGCTCAAATATTTAACAATGCGATAGGGGAAAGGCCTTAAATTTTCAAATATTTCTAGTTAATAATAATTGATAATGCATCATCTGATGAAAATTCTAGATTATATTACGACTACTAATTCATGTGTAAATAAAGCAAGCATGATTCAGATGAAAAAAATCCCAGTCAAAATTACCGTCCTGGGTATGACGGTAAGCTACATCCGTGTCCTGGGTAAGACAATAATCTACGTCCAACAGCAAGGCCTCTGATCAGAAGGTTTTGAGGATCGTAGAACCAACTTTTAATTGCTGGTGTTCCCAGGTCCTCCCTGATCCGGGGTGGTAGCACCTGTTAGGGTCCCAGCTATGGGCAAATAGTTAACCCCAAAACTGGAGTCAAAACACTATAAAAGTGTAAAAGCGGATTTTAGTACCAGAAATACCTTGTAAAAAATTATTTCCAGCAATAAATTTTTGAAGAAAAAAAAACTATTACCAGCTATACATTTTTAAGGAAAAAAATACTAGTAATAGTTTTTTTTGAAAAAATTATTACCAGCAATACATTTTTGGGAAAAAAAAATATTACCAGAGATAGATTTTTGACAAAACAGAATATTACCAGCAATGAAAATTTTGTCGGCATTAAATAACCCATTGGGGTTGATATACCATAAAACAAAACAAACCACACCAAACCAGTGAAAATTAATAACGGTTGACAGTGATTCATCTAATGAACTATCCAGATATTCTTCGTCTACGTGCCGTGTCCCTTCAGCATGTTGGCGATCATGGCTCTCCACAATTTCCTGTCCTTTGTAGCTCTTAATAAATTTTGTCTCTGTTATCTTTCCACCATCCATTTATTCAAACTCGCTAGTTAGGTTATGCGTTGTTTTCCTCTGTACTTCTTGCCTTCAAGTTTCTTTGCCACTCGGAAAAGCACCTGTGTAAATAAAGCAAGAGAAATTAAGATTAATTAATAATTATCATGTTTCATTTGATGAAATTACAAGATAAAATTCCTAAAAATGATAATATTAAGTTGATAAGGCCAAATAAAAAATAGAATGAATGAAATATGAGTCAAAAAGTTAATAATGCTTGACGATACTTCATCTAATAAAAATTCAAGAAAGATATTAATATTACTAATGCTACGTTTTCTTCTATGTAGCGAATCCCTTCGGGACATAATAAATCTCCGCAATTTCCTATCACGTGTGGCTCTTAGCAGCTTTTCTCTCTTTGCTATACCACCTGTTCCATCATCCATATATGCCCTGTGAGGGTTAAATTTTCCAAACCTCCCTTCCTCATTATGTATCTAATGAATTTCAATTCTCTTTTCCTAATTCTGAGTGTAAGTGTTCTTTCTGTTGCTATAAAACTTCCTTGTTGCTTACTCGCACCGTCCATAGAATTCTCAGTATCCTTCTGTAGAACTATATTTCTTCCGCCTCTAGGTTTCTCCTCATCCGTGGGGAAATTGTCCAACACTCATCTGATGAAAACTGAAGATAATATTCCTAAAAATAATATTAACTTCATAAGGCCACATAAAATAAAATGAATGAAATGCGAGTCAAAATGTTAATAATGTTTGACGATGCTCCTTCTAATAAAATATAGATATTAATATTACTAATACTACTTTACTATTACCGAAGATAAGCAACGTTGAGCCTGGTCACTACCTAGATAGGTAACCGCTTTGGAATAACAGGTGCTATAAGATTGGATGTACGGCTGGTGTAATAGATAATAGCTCCGAATTGGAAATCGGAGAGTAGACTTACAATTCCAGTCGGGTTTCCTTGAGAAAAGTATGAATCCACCTCTTATGCCCCCAGCTATGGGTTAATTAGTAGAAAACATATCAATAAATCAATTTACAATTTCTTATCCGTTGTGGCTCTTAGCAGTTTGTCTCTCTTTGCTAAGGTCCCGATCCCTTTTTCGCCATCCATTCACACAAGCTCTGGAATTAAGGAATTGTATTGCTGATCAATCAAAATTCGTAAATAATTATATAGGCCACACTACAACATGTTTGACACGCAGAC